GCCAGGCCCCTAATCTGCCATGGGCCCCATACCGCCTCCTCATGCTGCTGCCAGGTCCAGAGTCTCTCATGGGTCCCGGTACGGCCTCCCATTGCTGCTGTCTCCATCGCCACACTCTGCCATGTGCCACTTTCAGGTCTCCTCACACTGCTGGTGTGTTCAATTTTTTGACATAGGGTGCTGGCAATTACGGGCCTCCCATAGCTGCTGCCAGGCCCCTAATCTGCCATGGGCCCCTATATACCGCCTCCTCATGCTGCTGCCAGGTCCAGAGTCTCTCATGCCATGTGCCACTTTCAGGTCTCCTCACACTGCTGGTGTGTTGCAATTTTTTCCATAGGGTGCTGGCAGATTACGGGCCTCCCATAGCTGCTGCACTGCTGGTGGCCCCTAATCTGCATAGGGTGGGCCCTATACCGCCTCCTCATGCTGCTGCCAGGCCTGTACGGCCTCCCATTGTCTCTCATGCCATGTGCCACTTTCAGGTCTCCTCACACTGCTGGTGTGTTGAATTTTTTGACATAGGGTGCTGGCAGATTACGGGCCTCCCATGCTGCTGCCAGGCCCCTAATCTGCCATGGGCCCCTATACCGCCTCCTCATGCTGTCTGCCTGTCGGCCTCCCACAGTCTCTCATGCCATGTTCCACTTTCAGGTCTCCTCACACTGCTGGTGTGTTCAATTTTTTGTCATAGGGTGCTGGCAGATTATGGGCCTCCCATAGCTGCTGCCAGGCCCCTAATCTGCCATGGGCCCCTATATACCGCCTCCTCATGCTGCTGCCAGGTCCACAGTCTCTCATGTGTCCCTGTACGGCCTCCCATTGCTGCTGTCTCCATCGCCACACTCTGCCATGTGCCACTTTCAGGTCTCCTCACACTGCTGGTGTGTTCCATTTTTTGTCATAGGGTGCTGGCAGATTACGGGCCTCACATAGCTGCTGCCAGGCCCCTAATCTGCCATGGGCCCCTATACCGCCTCCTCATGCTGCTGCCAAGTCCAGAGTGTGTCATGGGTCCCTGTACGGCCTCCCATTGCTGCTGTCTCCATCGCCACACTCTGCCTGTGCCACTTTCAGGTCTCCTCACACACTGCTGGTGTGTTCAATTTTTTGTCATAGGGTGCTGGCAGATTACGGGCCTCCCATAGCTGCTGCCAGGCCCCTAATCTGCCATGGGCCCCTATACCGCCTCCATCATGCTGCTGCCAGGTCCACAGTCTCTCATGCCATGTGCCACTTTCAGGTCTCCTCACACACTGCTGGTGTGTTACATTTTTTGACATAGGGTGCTGGCAGATTACGGGCCACCCATTGCTGCTGCCAGGCACGTAATCTGCCATGGGCCCCCGTACCGACTCCTCATGCTGTGACGTTGCAACAAGGTGGAATTCAACCCTACATATGTTAGACCGCCTTTACGAACAGCGAAAGGCCATCACAGATTTCCTGATGTTAAAAGTGGATAAAGGTACTCCCTGTGTAACTTAGATGTCAGCCATTGGCAGCTCATGCGTGACACCTGCGCTTGCTCAGGCCCTTTGAGGAGGCCACGCTATTCGTGAGTCGGCAGGACTATGGGATGAACGACGTCATTCCTCTGTTGCACGTCCTGGAATAAATGCTGTTAACAATGGCTGGTCAGGGTGCGGTAGACGTGGCGCACAGATCTCAACGCCACATGAACCCTGTGGGGGCAGGACAGGAAGAAGAGGATGAGGTAGAGGAGGACATTGGTGCTCAGGAATTATTGAGTGAAATGGGTGGTTTTTCCACTCAGCGGACAGGAGTGGAGGAGCAGGAGCATCTGGTAGAGGAGGAGGAGGAGACAGAGGACCCAGACGCACCGTGGCAGTATGCTGTGGAGATGGAGGCAGGGAGTCCCTCGCATTCCTTGGCACAAATGGCCCATAGCATGCTCGCTTGCTTGCGTAGCGACAGCCGAATAATAACCATCAGACAGAGGGATGACTTTTGGCTGTCCACCTTGTTGGACCCTCGCTACCCGTTCAAAAATGGTGGCCTTTTTCACACCTGCTGAGAGGGAGGCCAAAATAACGTACTATAAAAACCACCTATGTAGTCAGCTGGTCTCTGCCTTTCTGCGCCAACGTCCATCCTCAGACACTGTGGGCCCTGTGCGCTCGCGTTCCGCTGCCATGGCAGCAGGGGAGGGGTGGGGTGGTAGGAGCAGTGGCAGCTCCACCAGCAGCGGCTGCCTCAGTCTGCAGTCGATGATGAGTAGCTTTCTTCACCAGCGCAGTGAGGAAACTACTAACCAGCCGCAGCAGCAGCAGCATCAGGTGGACCTGGAGCAGGACCTCAAACAACAGGCTTAGGCCTACTTGGACAGCACCCTGCCAACCGAGGTAGACAATCCCCTTGACTACTGGGCAACGAAACTTGACCTTTGGCCCCAACTAGCTGAATTTGCCCTTGAAAGGCTGTCATGCCCGGCCAGTAGCGTGGCATCGGAGCACGTGTTTAGTGCGGCAGGAGGTATTGTAACTCCGCGGAGGACACGACTGTCCACCCAAAGTGTGGAGAGACTCACGTTTGTGAAAATGAATCAGGCGTGGATTAGTCTGGATTTCAAACCACCAGTTCCTGACACAACTGACTAAATCCGCCATGAATCATGCCCCAAACATGTGCCACTTTCAGGTCTCCTCACACTGCTGGTGTGTTCCATTTTTTGTCATAGGGTGCTGGCAGATTACGGGCCTCCCATAGCTGCTGCCAGGCCCCTAATCTGCCATGGGCCCCTATACCGCCTCCTGATGCTGCTGCCTGGTCCAGAGTCTCTCATGGGTCCCTGTACGGCCTCCCATTGCTGCTGTCTCCATCGCCACACTCTGCCATGTGCCACTTTCAGGTCTCCTCACACACTGCTGGTGTGTTCAATTTTTTTGACATAGGGTGCTGGCAGATTACGGGCCTCCCATAGCTGCTGCCAGGCCCCTAATCTGCCATGGGCCCCTATACCGCCTCCTCATGCTGCTGCCAGGTCCACAGTCTCTCATGGGTCCCTGTACGGCCTCCCATTGCTGCTGTCTCCATCGCCACACTCTGCCATGTGCCACTTTCAGGTCTCCTCACACACTGCTGGTGTGTTCCATTTTTTGTCATAGGGTGCTGACAGATTACGGGCCTCCCATTGCTGCTGCCAGGCCTGTAATCTGCCATGGGCCCCCGTACCGCCTGGTCACGCTGCTGCTGGGTCCACAGTGTGACATGGGTCCCTGTACCGCCTCCCATTGCTCCCACTCTGCCATGTGCCACTTTCAGGTCTCCTCACACTCCTGCTGGTTTCCATTTTGTCATAGGTTGCTGGCAGATTACAGGCCTCCCATAGGTGCTGCCAGGCCTGTAATCTGCCATGGGCCCCCGTACCGCCTCGTCACGCTGCTGCTGGGTCCACAGTGTGACATGGGTCCTTGTACCGCCTCCCATTGCTCCCACTCTGCCATGTGCCACTTTGAGGTCTCCTCACACTCCTGCTGGTTTCCATTTTGTCATAGGTTGCTGTATGGCCTCCCATTGCTGCTGCCTCCACCGCCACACTGTGGCTCCAAACACTGGTTTTGGCCCCGTGACTGGCCAAATGAGTGAAGTGTGCGGTGATTCTAAGATCGACGGCACTCATCTGCATGTCATACTGAGTGACAGTATTATTTCTCTTCCCCAGCAGACTCCAAGGGCATTTAAATTAAAGGTACAGTGTTCTGCACTAATATTAAGTCTCTCTGAAGCCTAGAAACACCCTTTTTTAAATTAAATTCACAGCGAATTTATTCGACTCGAATCGAATATTGTCCACGAATTCGCCGAATCAGTCGAATCGAATTTTTCATTTCTTCGCTCATCTCTAGTAGCCACCCGCGGAGGAGAGATCAGTTGGGCACCCGGAGGATGCCCATGGGGGGGGGCAATGTCAGGGACCATTGCGACGCATGGGTCTACACATGCGTAGGTGTCTGTCAAGACATGCAGGCAGCAGGGCACTAGGACCCAGGCGCACCCGTCGTCTATGACAGTACTGGGCAGGCACTAGGACCTAGGCTGCCCCTGCCAGGTGCAAGGCGGGCTACTTAAACCAGCCCTGAACAGACACTTGTTGCCAAATGGTCTTTGCGTATCCTGTTGCCTTTGTTGTGAGTACTCTGATCTGGATTGTCTGACCTTGTTGCCTTCTCCTGTCCTGACCCCTTGGCTTGCCTGACTCTGCTCCTGGATGCTCCCTTATAGATCTGATCTTCTGGTATTGACCCTGTATGTGACCCAACTATCCTTTGCCTATCGTCTTGTACCGCACCGACCCTCTAGTTACCGACACGGCCTGTTTGATCTTGCTCATCCATCCCTCAGGGATCCCCGGGCTCCCTCACATCAGACTCTTAACCCACAGGAGCCTCTGGCAGACTCCTCTACCTCTGGTAGAGATACCCGGTAGCTGCGACCTGGTCCCGGAGCGCTCCAAGTCCATCCCCACCATCAGGGGCCCTGGTGAACAAGTGCTCCGGTACTTAGACTCCGCACTCTGGGGAGGCTCTATCAGGGGACTGATAGAGGTGCTGTCAGGTGGTCCATTACAGGCTGACTGCAGGAGTGAGCCTCTGGTTGCTGAGAGCACCCGCTGGCCAGTCCTGGTACTGCAACCCACAAGGCAGGTGAGTCCCACCACTATTGGCGAGTCCATTCCTGCATAAATAACGCCACGCTTTAATAAATATGCTTACATAAAAATGCCAATAAATAGCATAAGAAATCCCATGACTCCACCATAAAGCAGCTTCCAGGAATGCCAAACAATATTACCACAGTTAAAAGGGCCTCTCTGCTACTTCCAGTTTCTCGGGCAATGTCCAATGTCCCTTGACGCGTTTCGTCACTTCCTTGACTTCCTCATAAGGGATGTGTCCGTTGGAGAGGTGGCCGCAATTTATCTCAGTTCGGCTCCTTAATCGTGAGTCCTCCGCCGCCCTCTGTTCTTATGGAAACTATACCAATCCGCATGTTTGTGTGTTCCTTATGATGGGGAGAGGGGGGGCTTGCCTGGTGGGGTGCATGGACCTCGGACCTCGGGGAGTGGCGGCCATAGCGGTGGGTCTTCCTGTGCTCTCGGCCCGGTGCTGTGTCTTCCCTGGAGCTCAGTGGACGCCGGGCGATCAGGTGATCTGCCGCAAGGGAGCTCTGGGAGGCAGAGGAGCTGGCCGGTGTTTCTTGGAGCAAGGGATATGTCGGCTCTCTTCCTCCTGCACACAGGACCGTGGCAGCTGGAGACACGAGGAAACAGGCTGAGTGAACCCCCCCTACAATCCACTCATTGTGTGAGGGGAATGTCAAGTGCAATGTTCTCCAAAAGAGAGTACCTGGAGTAAAGGAAGAGATGTCCTAAAGTGTGGGAAAGTATCTCAGAGAAGTTCTCTATAGAAACCAGAGATCTCACATGGGGGAGAAGTATTCCTGTTCAAGTGTGGGAAATGTTTTTCATGTAAGTCCTAATTTTATATATACCAGTGATAATACAAGAGGGAGCATCCATACCCTTGTTCAGAGTGTGGGAAATGTTTTTCACAGAAGTCCACAGAAGTCACATGAGGTTGATGCTATATCCCTGTTCTAAGTGCGAGAAATGTTTTCTCAGAAAAAAATTAGACTTTACATATATCAGAGGTCTAACACAGGTGAAAAATCATATGTCTGTCCTAAGTGCGGGAAATACTTTTCAGTGAAGCTTAGTCTTCACATATATCAGAGATCTTACACGGAGGAGAAGTTGCATACCTGTCCGGAGTGCACAAAATCATGTTTCATGTAAGTCCTATCCAGCCTGCATATATATCAGAGACCTCACATGAGGAAGATGCTATATCCCTGTTCTAAGTGCAGGAAATGTTTTCTCAGATAAGTCTAGACTTTACATATATCAGAGATCTTACACAGGTGAAAAGCCATATGTCCTGAGTGCGGGAAATACTTTTCAGTGAAGCCCAGTCTTTACATACATCAGAGATCTTACACAGAGGAGAAATTGTATACCTGTTCGGAGTGTGGGAAATGTTTTTCAGAGAAGCCCTTTTCTTCATATATGACAGAGATCTCATACGGGGGGAAAAGCCGTATTGGGGAAAAGAGGGTGAGTGAGAGCGGCAAAAGTACTGAGATTAATATATTGCATGGGAACTGAACTGTATGTATTGCTTGTATGTTTAAACTGAGGAGGGGTTCACCCAGGGGTTCTTAGAGGAAAATCAGAAGGAGAACAATGTAAAACAGATAAAGACCTAGAAGAAGAGGACCTGGGTAGATGAGCTCAGGAGCAGGGGGAGAGAAAAAGGAAGAAAAGAACTGAGAGGGGGATATCCATGGAAGACAAAAAATTTTGATATCAATTAAAAAATAGACCTCCCCCCCCAAAACCAGAACTGCGGAAAATTGAAAGTCTCTGACAGCATGAAAAACAAAGTATCAAAGGGAGGAGGGCCTAAGGCTTCCCATACAGGGTCAATTAAAAAATATGGATAAAGTAGAAGAACAAGTGGAGAGCTCACAGATGCCTACTAAAGCAGAAATAGCAGAAATGTTTAAAGGGCTTGAAAGATCCCTAAAACAGGAACTGGCGAAATTACACAAAGACCTGGGGCAAATATTATCAAGGGTGGAGGAGACGAAAGAAAAACTAGATAAACATGCCCAAATTATACAGAAATTAGAAAAACAGGCAATGGAAATGAGAAAACAACAAAGAAATCTGTTATATAAATTGGAAGACCAGGAGAATAGGGATAGGAGATGCAATCTAAGGATATGAGGATTTCCAGAGATCTCCCAAGGAGAAGATTTGACGGGAATAATAACGAGAATGCTGAATACTATAATGGATAGAACTATAACAGAGCCTCTCAAAATGGAGGGAGTATATAGAATGTGAAAATACATACAAGAAGATAGAAAGGAAAAAGCCAAGAGATGTAATAGTGCAATTCCATAATTTTCGGGATAAAGAAGAGCTTTGGAAGAAGATAAAAGGAAGAACAATAATAAAATATGGAGGAATAAATATACAGATCTTTGCTGATTTAGCAGCAGAAACATTAATAAGAAGGAGAACTTTGAAACTGTTATTGGAACAGATGAGAAAACAGAATGTTCAATATAGCTGGGTGTTTCCAGCAAGTTTGATCAGATGGAGAAATGGATGTTCAGCAAGACTGAGATCTGAGAGACTTTTGTGAGAGACTTGATATACAGAAAGTCAGCTCAAACCCCTCAGAGTCTGCAGTATATCACTACTCTAAAGTTGAGATCTTGAGCCATGCTGTGTGACTTCAGTGGACTTCATGCAGCTGTCCCCTGAAAATGTGTCGCACGAGTGCCAAATGAACTACACTTCTGTAATCCACAGGAGAGGTTCAGCCAAAAAAATCTTTGGCTGGACTTCCCTTTTAATCTATGTATGTCAGGCTTAAAGTGTTACTAAACCCTGAACCCCACATTCACTCTATCTAGTCTCCCCAGCCCCACATTCACTGCATCCGCTCTCCCTGGACCATGAATTCACTCTATCTGGTCTCCCACAGTAAACAGAACATGGCAATGCAAGTATTTTAGTCCATGAAAACAGCTGAATACATTTTCTTATCAGCAGTTAGAGCAGTCTTTTGACTTCAGCAGAGCACTGTTTAAATTTTTTGAGTATTTTTCTTTCTGCTCTAGGAGAATGTGAAACCTCTGCCCCTCTGTCTGAACAGTGCTGATTGGCCCTGTGCTGATCACATGTACCCACCCAAAACCAACACCCAAAAAGTATAGCAATGCACACCAAACTGAGCATGTGCATGTGACTACGGATTCAGTCTGTATCAGGTGGTCATTTCAACAAGAGGAGGGGCAGAGAAGACAGGATCAAACAGCCTTTTTACCCAAGACAGAGTATTAGCCCCTTAGGTTACACAGCGAGTATAACAAGGATGCTTTATTGTATATCTACACTGCTTTGACTGTTGTGGGTTTAGTAATAGTTTAAGTACTATTGCTTGCTTCCTCAGCACACATGCTCAAGCAGTTTTGGGAATACAGCTTCCAATGTGGATCCTAGTGTTGTGGCTAGGCAGTTATTAGCTCAATATGTGTAGGCCTGTACACATCCATACCTTTCTGAGACCAAGTTCTGCTCTCTAGCACAGCATGGGATGATAATTGGCAGCAGGTCAGTATTTTTGGGGAGGAGGATGCCAAGCAGTGGGGCCTTCATGCTGCGAATGCATGAAGGCAAGAAACTTCTGCCTTTGGGCCAAATTTCCAATGACCTGCCAACACAGGATTTGTGCCCCCAAAATACACTAGCAGAGGGGGGGGGGGGAAGAGCCTATCTCTGAGGAGCTTCTCAGCTCTTAGTGTTTGGCAAGTGTTCCGAGTTGTGTGTCTTTTAATATCCAATGGTTATGGCCTTTCCCTTGAGTCAACCTTTGAAAAGGTTACAGCTAAGGGTATAGTGGTTGTTTCAGACCCAGAAATGGAATGCTCTGCTGCTCAAAATTACATTTCTCCGCTTTGGCATATAGTCCGTGCTGGCGAAGTCGTCCCAGGACATTTTTAACATGCTCCCGGTGTATTTCCAGAGATGTGGAGAAGATTAAGATATCGTCCAGATAGATT